CCCTAAGCCTATACGCGGCACGTGGCAAGTGATACTTTAATAAATCTACTTGATTCGTGTTTTAGACGATCGTGATTATTATTATGATTAAAGAAAAAAAAACAAACAAAATGAATAAAAAAAAAAAAAAAAAAAAAAAAAAAAAAAAAAAAAAAAAAAAAAAAAAAAAAAAAAAAAAAAGAAAATAATAGAGTCTCGTTTTCGACGTGTCACGTCGAGAGAATTCTATTATCAAAGAGGCGGAAGAGCCAACTAAGGTTCGTCACGATTTTAACCGATCTCGACGAATTGCACTTATAAATTAGAAAGTAGTACTCGCTAGAAAAGTACAACTGACTCGTCGAAACGAGACACGCGTGGAATTAATATTGTAAAAGATAGTTAACGGACCCTCCTTAGGTTCCTTAGGTAACGAGTGTTTAACGAGAGAGAGAAAATAAAATAAAAAAAAAAAAAAAAAAAAAAGGAGTAAGAAGAAAATTACGAAAAGAACGCGTTAGGTACGATAATGCGCCGAAACGTTAAGATTATAACGTTCTTTTCTTCATGTACATAGTCTCGCGTATTACCTAGACCTGCGTTTAGAATAACCGAAAGATTTTCGTTATTCGTGGTTTCGTTCTACGAAACGAATGAATGGAAGACGAGATGCAGATGCTGCGTTCCCTTTGGAAATTTGGGATACCTTTTTTTGTCCCCGATTTTTGCCTTCGATTTTTACTCGATCGATCGAATCTTCGGATAGAAACCTTTGACTGTGAAACTAGAGAGGGTTTTTCAAAATTCCGGGAAGGAAGAGAAGAAGTTCTTTTTTTTTTTATATATATATATATAAACACGTTCGTCTCTAATTTTGAGTTCGATTTTTTTTTTTATTCAAAATCTTCGATTGGACGAAAAAGACACGAGATGAGTTTTTTTTCAGAAATATCACGAAAGGGGAAGAGAAACCTGGGTTCTCTGCAATTTTGAAAAACCCCTATGTCTCTGATTTCGGATCCGAATTATTATTATTCGAAAAAGAAAAACGGGTTAAAGAAAAGAAAAGGCAAGGGAACGAAGGTTTCTCAAAATTTCAGAAGGAAGAGTAATTGATTAATTAATTACCACCGGAGTAAATCGTGAGAAAGAACCGACTCGACTTATTCAGAGACAACGACACAACGCATTATAAAGTAATAATGATAAACTTTAATGTTAAATCAACGTACTATTGTTATGATCTCTTACACTATGAGGGTGATCTCGATGACGATCGTTGCGTAATGTAAAAAAACGCGTTCGCACGTGTGTTTTTCAATGCGTTCACTAAATAAAAAGAAAAGAAAAGAAAAAAAAAAAGAAAAAAAAAAAGAAAAAAGATATAAACAAAGCGATGGGAACTGACGTTGTAAACGGTAAATGTTGTAGACGATAAGCGAGAGAAATACCGTTGAGAAAATACCGGATGAAAATTCAAAAAAAAGAGAAGAAGAGAAGAAGAGAAGAAAAACAGGAGAGGAAAAAAAAAGAAAAAGAAAAAGAAGTTCAATAAAAAGACAAAGGGGGAGGGGGAAGGGAAAGAAATCACGATGTTAAGTAAGTAGTCGTTAGCTTTGTATACATACAAGGGAGTGTCGAACAAAAAAGGAAGACGACGTTTCAAAAAGAAGAAAGAGAAAAGAAAGGGGAGAGCTTATAGCATTATAATCGGCGAGTTTTCGAGGCGAAATGACAAACACGAGGAGAACACAATTCTTTTTTTTTTTTTTTTTTTTTCAAAACAGCTGCCATTCGACGACGAGAGATACGTGGCTACCACCATCTTCGAGCGGACTTGTGCGATTTTTCGGATATAGGGGTTCCGAATGAACACGGTATACACGCTGTCGCTCGATTCCGCGAAAACTCGATCCCGTTAATCGGCAAACACGAAAGCCACCATCATATCCACCATATCCGAGGCGGAAAACGCGCCTCCTTCCCGGAATTGGGGAAAAATCCAATTTACTTCGGGTGCGCGAAAAAATTCCAAATTCCGAATTCTTCTCCCGAGGGGGAAAAAAAAAGAAAATCTCAAACTCGCAGGGCCCCCCCCTCGCCCCGTAA